CAAAAATATTTAATTTACTGATTCAAGATGCAATGTGTATGCACCTTGCAATAAATTTTGATCACGAATTGTAAAGTTTGCCATAACTCTTAGTTTACTATAATCCCACTGGTATTAGTTAATCTTGCACTTGCTCCTTTTTTTTTTCACTAATGGAGTTAATATTTAGTTAGTTCATTCTGTAGCATATGCTCTCCAGTGGTAATGATTTTTTTTTTCTTTTCTGTTCTGTGACCTCACTGAAGTGCCAAACGTCACAAGGGAAGTCATTCAATGTAGAATTTAACACCAAGAAATTAGAAGCCTATGTCCCACTGATAGAGGAGAAAATTATTTAACCTTGCTTTCTATATAATTGATTTTTAATGCCTTAATGCAAAGTATTTTTTAAAACCTCTCTATGCCATATGTTGTGCTGTATTTTGGTTATTCTTAAGTGTACTAGTTGCACTAACTGTAGATTAATTTTGACCCTATCCAAATTATACCTCTAAGATAGAATGTCAGAGACAGAAAAAATAAAAAATCCAGAAAATCTCACTTAGACACAGATGATAAGACTAAGATCAATTTTAAAATTCAGAGTTTATTTGGGAGTTAAACATGTATATATGTAGCTTCTGTTCAACAGTGGCCAGGCCCTGTGCTTGCTGTTGAGCAGCAGGAAGACAGAACCTCAGTCCAGCCTGAAAGGAAAAGAAGGTGTATTGGGGGCAGCATGCAGAGATCATTTGCAGCTTTGCATGCAGGAGATGCCTTCTCTTCTAGGATGTGCTCTCCTGCAGCAGAACACAGACACTGCTAGCACATGAGTCTGTGCAAACTGTGGAAATATCTGGACACTTGACCAAAATTATACCTTTCTTCATCCAGATATTACAGTGCATGTGAATCTCATGTATAGACACAGCCTTGAACCAAAATAATTTTATTTACTAAATTGGCTGGGCACAGTGGCTCATGCCTGTAATCCAAGCACTTTGGGAGGCCAAGGCAGGTGGATTGTCTGAGGTCAGGAGTTTGAGACCAGCCTGGCCAACATGGTAAAACCCTATCTCTACCAAAAACACAAAAATTAGCTGGGAGTGGTGGCGGGCACCTGTAATCCCAGCTACTCGGGAGGCTGAGACAAGAGAATTGCTTGAACCCAGGAGACAGAGGTTACAGTGAGCCATTCCAGCCTGGGCGACAGAGCGAGACTCCCTCTCAAAAA